ACCAAGGAAGCGAAAGACCTATACTCTGAACACTACAAGACACTCATGAGAGAAATTAAAGAAGATACCAATAAATGGAAACACATCCTGTGCTCATGGATAGGAAGAATTAATATTGTCAAAATGGCCATCCTGCCTAAAGCAATCTATAGATTCAATTCAATGCAATTCCTATCAAAATACCAAGAGCATTCTTCAACAAAATAGAGAAAATCATCGTAAAATTTATATGGGACCATGAAAGACCCCGAATAGCCAAAGCAATCCTGAGAAGGAAGAATAAAGCAGGGGGAATTATGCTCCCCAACTTCAAGCTCTTCTACAAAGCCACAGTAATCAAGACAATTTGGTACTGGCACAAGAACAGACCCATAGACCAATGGAACAAACTAGAGAGAGCCCTGATATAAACCCAACCATATATGGTCAATTAATATATGATAAAGGAGCCATGGACATACAATGGGGAAATGACAGTCTCTTCAACAGCTGGTGTTGGCAAAACTGGACAGCTGCATGCAAGAGAATGAAACTGGATTATTGTTTAACCCCACACACAAAAGTAAACTCGAAATGGATTAAAGACTTGAATGTAAGTCATGAAACCATAAAACTCTTAGAAGACAACATAGGCAAAAATCTCCTGAATATAAGCATGAGCAACTTCTTCCTGAACCCATCTCCTCGAGAAAGGGAAACAAAAGCAAAAATGAACTCATGGGACTACATCAAACTAAAAAGTTTTTGTAGAGCAAAGGACATCATCAACAAAACGAAAAAGCATCCTACACTATGAAAGAATATATTTATAAATGACATATCTGACAAGGGGTTAACATCCAAAATATATAAAGAACTTACACACCTCAACACCCAAAAACCAAATAACCCGATTAACAAATGGGCAGAGGATATGAAGAGACAATTCTCCAAAGAAATTCAGATGGCCAACAGACACACTAATCATCAGGGAAATGCAAATTAAAACCACAATGAGATATCACCTCACACCAGTAAGGATGGCCAGCATTGAAAAGACTAAGAACAACAAATGCTCGTGAGGATGCAGAGAAAGGGGAACCCTCCTACACTGCTGGTGGGAATGTAAGCTAATTCAACCATTGTGGAAAGCAATATGGAGGTTCCTCAAAAAACTAAAAATAGAAATACCATTTGACCCGTGAATCCCATTCCTTGGAATATACCCAAAGAATAGAACTTCTCAGATTCAAAAAGACATATGCACCCCTATGTTTATCGCAGCACTTTTTACAATAACCAAGATATGGAAGCAACCTAAGCGTCCATCAGTAGATTAATGGATAAAGAAGTGGTACATATACACAATGGAATACTATTCGGCCATAAGAAAGAAACAAATCCTACCATTTGCAACAACATGGATGGAGCTGGAGGACATTATGCTCAGTGAAATAAGCCAGGCAGAGAAAGACAAGTGCCAAATGATTTCTCTCATTTGTAGAGTACAACAACGAAGCAAAACTGAAGGAACAAAATAGCAACAGACTCAGAGACTCTTAAGAAGGAACTAGTGGTTACCAAAGGGGAGGTGTGTGGGAGGACGGTTGAGGAGGGAGAAGGGGACCATGAGGTATTATGTTTAGTACACATGGTGTCAGGGATCACAGGGAGAACAGAGTAGCACTGAGAAGGCAAATAGTGGACCTGTGGCATCTTGCTGCACTGATGGACAGTGACTGCATTGGGGTATTGGTGGGGACTTGATAATATGGGTAAATGTAGAAACCACATTGTGTTTTCATGTGAAACCTTTGTACGAGTGCATATCAATACCTTAAGAAAAAAAGAAAAAAAAGGAACAGACTAATCGTTTAAGAAAACTTTGTCCTTTTAACAGAAAACAAAATTCTAATTTTGCTGTGTACTTGATGTCAAGACTCATTTGCTTTAATTTCACATAGCGTGACCACATCAATTCTTCCACAAACTTTCTACAACTTTCTTTTTTACATTCAGAGTTCTCCCTCTGAATGTTCTAAGGTGTACCTTAGAACGAAGTTACCCTCTCTCACCCTTAATAAAATGCATTTTCATTTTAGACCTTCTCTTATCAAAACACACATCTTTTTTAGCATGCAGAGATGTTTTTCTTATTGCTGTAACTATGTTTAATTAGAACTCAAAACCATGAGAAACTTTAGTTTTCAGTGAACACTGATAAGTAAACTATTATAAACTATTATACTAGCATTCTTTAGATTGACAAACTTGTGAACGTTTTATAATTTCTGGAAACATGTTTTACAGCACAATTTCTCAAAAACCACAAAATGTCAACTTAGCAAAACGTTAAGGTTTTAGGTTACCATGGAGATTTTCAAGCCCTGTAGGTGTACATACACTCTGTAACACACTGTAACACAATTATTAAGTTCAATAACTACACTTATTTAGTTCACTTGTTCTTAACAACCATGCTAGATTACTTACAAAACCTTCACTGAACATGACAAAGCCAAGCCTCTCTTTAAGCATTCTTTTCTTTTGAAAGACTTAAGCCAGGCTGTATTCCAGAATATAAATTTCTGTCTCAGGGAGTCTAGTTTCAAACTTCTCAATTTTTTAGAATAAGCAGAACATCCCGGAGCAAACAGCAGAATGCACATTCTTCTCAAGGACACATGGAACACTGTCCATGACAGATGACATGCAAGGCCACAAAGCAAGACGGGAAATTTAAGAAAGCTGAAGTCATATCAAACATCTTTTCCCGCCCCATTATGAAACTGTAAATAGTTAACAAGAAAAAACTGGGAAAAAAACACAAACTTGGAGGCCGAACAACATGCTACTGAATAAACGATGGATCAAGGAAGAAATCAAAGGATATAAAAAAATACCTGGAGAACAATAAATGCAGTTTCCAATTTGGTTTCTTTTCTCACTTCACGTCCCGACAAAAACAAACCCCAACGTACCGCAATTCTGTCCCCTAGTTCCTGCCGCACAGTTCCAAGGCTCCGACTTCCCGAGGGCCTTTCCAGACTCAGATCTCCCGCTGTTTCCACCACCCCGTTTTATCAACAGCTCCTACTCTGGTTTCTGAGGACCAGCCTCTCCCCTGCGCCCTCTTCCACGCGCTCCTTTCGCGCCGGGACAGGCACGGAGGGAACTCCCCGCTCGCCGGGACTCAAACCGAGACACTCGGTTCTGGCTCTCGCCGGTCCCTCCCCACGCTCAGCGGCCGGGGCGGTTTGCGCCCGCGAGTCCTTCCGGAGACGGGCGCCGAGGGACCGGGCCAGGTTCGCCCAGGCCTCCGAACACAGCCAAGCGCACCGTCCACGTCCCCGGGGCCGGGTGTGGCCGCGGGTGACGAGCTCACCTCACCGAGCGCCTGGACCAGCTCCACCAGCACCCACGACTCAGCTACGGTCACCATACCCAGCCGCTCCGGCCTCCTTCCCGAAGACTAGCGGGTCAACCAGTGCGCGGGGCGGCGCAAAACGTCTGCGCGCCTGGGGGCGGGGCGGCCGAGCACTGGGCACCGCCCCTTAGCGCTTGCGCATTGCCCAGGAAAGCAGAAAGTCGAGGCCTCTACAGGGTCGGGGATGTTGCGAGACTGCGCGATGTTTGGTCACCGTACCTGCACGGCCCTGACCTCGCAACTTGCTTCAAACAGGTGTTTGCAAATAGCTTTCAGCTCCTCCGTTGAACTAATCCCATCCCTGTTCTCCTGCTTCTTTCTAACAAGACTCTGAGAGAGGAGGGGACTTCCAACACCGGGGCCTCGCGCGCAGCCTGCCATCGCACTCTGCCAGATCCATTAGTTTCCAGGTAAATGGATTCTCTGCAGCTGTGACCCCATTGCTTTCAGCGGGTCAGGGAACCTGCAGGCATCTGATAATGAGCATGTTCATGGCAAAACGCCTCTTTACATTCCCCAGCAAAACGTGAGAGGAACAGAAGGCAATATTGGCTTCGCTTATCAGCAAAGAGGTGATGGAAACCTTTGAGGTTTTTGTCTTCCACTGTTTACTTAAAACATTTATTTGTTGTGCAGTGGCTTAAATTTTCCTTTGGCTAATGGAGGGTGGGACACAAAAAATTGTCATGTGTGACCGTGTGTCAGGAGGGTGCACTTGGGTGTAGCAGAGTTCCAAAGACATGAGCCCCAGGGCTGGAATTGTACCGTTTCATTGGTCGGGAAGTATATGCAGGGAGGCACGGTGTTATTCTGTTAGGACACTGTTTTTAATTGTTTACTCAGATCAGCAGGATTTATATACATTTTCTGACATTCTGGATTTTGGTTTGAAAATATTCATCTGGGATATATGTGGGTGTGTTCATTGTTTTCTTTTTGGGTTTTTGGCAAAAATACTAACAAAAACCACTGTTTTTCATTCACTGTTTACCAAATTAAGAAGGCTTTTGGGTGTTCTATTCACAGTTGATAAGGATAACAGCTCTCATAAGTGAGACTCAAGAACAGAGGAGGGGACCAAGTGCCTGCACCCCTCGACTCCTGATAACCTTCGGTGCAGAGGCTCAGTCCACATTATTAAGCATTTATTCAGGGGCACAATGACGAGAAGTTTCATGATGAGCACATTTGGAAGGCTTATTCTCTTGGCTACAAGAAAGGAAACTGCCCCAAACTTTGAAGGAGCACATGGCAGCCTACAAAATTATTTGTTTAATGCATTTATTTTAAACAAATAATTGTTTAATTATTTGTAAATGCATCAGCTGCATCAGTAAATGGATCCGCTGCAATCGCTTGCCTTTTCTAACCCTCCCCCCTAATGACAAATGGGCACAATACTGTTGTAGAAACTTTGGAGAAAGTAGGAGGGCTCACATACACAAAATCTGCCATTCCACTGGTCAAGAATAATCACTTTTATTTTCTTCTAATCTTTTAGAAGAAGTGTGTTTTCTTCTAATCTTTTTCCTCTATGTACATTTGGTCTACATATATATTTTGACAAGAATCAGATCATATTGCCAACTTGCTTTCAATCCCATTTCCCAGGGCCTCTGGAAGGGAAGATGTAGCACAAGGCTTAGGCTGGGACTGGCTCCCAGGGAGCTTCTGGGCCAGGACTTGTGGAGCAAGATGACAGGGAGCACACAACTGACTTTCCTCATTGCCCTGGAGTCTCCAGGACTGGATGCTCTAAAGTGTGGCTTTTCTACTGTGTAGGGAAGACTGGGCTTGCTTGCTGGGTATACAGATATGTAGCTGCAATGGGGTGGCAAAGCTCTGTTCTGGGTGTGGGGAGAGCCTACTTCCCCTCAGGGTCTTCAGAAAGGTTTTCAGAAGTTAATGTTGGTTCAACACTTGTGAATTACATGTGTTTTCAGGTCAGCATGCTCAGAAACATGGAGGCATGGTGCTGTGCTGGCCAGCAGAACGTCCAGCTACCACTCTACTTGCAAGTGGGCTTCTTGGCAAACAGGCAGCCTGGCTGGGCTCTTGCTGTTTCAGGGACAGGGAGTTCAGTCTCGAAGAGTTGAGCTGGTCTGTCTGGTCTAAGGTGCTGCACGTGTGAGGGCAGGTGCTGGCCTTTTATTCCAAGATGTTGACATGTGTGACACACGTCTTCTGACATACGCATGTGCTCCCCTCAGCAGATTCCTTTTGCTGGAACTCCAAGATCACTTGCCAAAGAGGGGAAGACCGCATTGTCCTTCCCCCAGGAATTGTAATGGATCCATGGGCTTCTTGGTCCAGGACTTGGGGGAGGAACAGGCAAGGACCACACATACTAGAGGGGGTGGATGTATTCACTGATTTCATCCCAGACATGGCACTTTTCACACATGTACATATCTGTTGACTTAACCCTGAAATTTCCTAGATTCTCATGTGCAGGAGGTTGCAACACAGGTGGGGCAGGGAAGAGACTTTTTTTGGTTCATCAAGATGTAAGTAATAGAACCTCATTTTTGCTTATATATAAAAGGTTCATGCTTACCTATAAGTCACTGGTGCTCAGTCTAGGTGACTTTGGCCTCCAGAGGCCATTTGGTAACAAGAGGAGATAGTTTTGGTCATCACAGTGGGGGAGGAAGTCCTGCTGGAATCGAAGGCATTGTAGGGAGCTGCTAAGCATCCCATAAGGCCCAGGACAGCCCCACAACAGGGAGCTGCCTGGCCCTGAATGTCAGCAGTGGGAAGGTAGAGAGACCTGCTATACACGGCGCCAAGACTAAATGAGTGGGTGAAGCACTCATGTCTTGAGTGTTCTATGTTTGGTGGTGGTGTGATGTCTTGAAAGCTTGCTGGCCACAGAGAGACTACCCTTCGCAGGACCAGCCCTTTCTTAGAGATGGCAAAGGCCTTGGCCGCTGGCTTGTCAGGCAATCCCGAGTCTGTGGCCCCAGCTAGCTCCTCATCTAACTCTTGACATGCAACAATATTTCCCTGCCCTAAGTCATCCCAGGGCCACGTACCAGACAGCTAGGGACTGCATCTCTAGCCCAAAGCCCTCTGGAAAACTGACTAGCCAGTCCTAAGCTGTTTATTCTGCTTGACCCAGCCTTTCCTTAGAAACCCCAACAGGCTCTGGCTTACATTTTTCCCTTGCTTCTGTCTTCTGCCCCCTGAGCACAACCCCATGGCCCTACACAGCATGTGGCAGCTCCCTCTGAGACCTGTGAGCAAAATCATCTCCAAGTCTCATTCCTTTCTTCTTGGGGCTACACCAACTTTCCCAACCATACCCAACATTTGCCTTCTTAGAACATTGGACAATGAAAACAACACAGCCTCCCCAGCTTCCTATCTGCTGTATTTCTGGGGAAATCTACTTTAAAAGTAGTAGGGAAAGAATCCACATACTTCCCGAGGGCGCTCCTTCCCTGACGATCTTCCTCCAGTTCCCGGTAACAAGTCTGTTTGCTAATTTCTTTTTCCCAGAAGCTTTTGAGCTCACGACAAGTTTCACAGCAGAAGACTTCCCGACGGACGTACTGATTGTTCATCCCCTCCCTGAAAGATAAGAGAAAAGCCAAAGCCCAGTCCTCAACATAAAGCCACTCTACCTTTGGAGCAATGAAAGATGGGTTTGAATCCGGGCACTGCCATTTACACTTCAGTGACTGTGGACAATTCACACTGTGAATTTTGTTTTCTGAAATGGAGGTGAGGATAGTAACGGTTCTGTCAGATAATACTGTGAAAAACTTGGAAGGGAGCACAAAAAAAAAAAGTGAGCTCCTCCCAATGCCTCTGATTCCAGCAGGACTCCCTACCCCACCCATGATGACCGAAACTATCTCCTCCTGTTACCAAAGGCCTCTGGAGGCCAAAGTCACTCGGATTGAGCGCCAGTGACTTATTTCAGAGTATCTGATGCTGCAAGGGCCTGCCCCTTTCACTGTCTCTGCACTATGTTTCAAGTCTGTAAATCACAGAAAAAAATAGTAATGCAAGTAATGCTTGACCACAGAGAATCATCTGGTCGTTTCTGGAGCCACAACTGCCACAACTGGCAAAGCTGTGCCAGGAGCACGGGGAGGCCTTGTGAGAAGGCCAGAGGCCGGCAGGTCGTGGGGGCTCCCCAAGGGCCTGTCATCTGCTCAGGCTCTAGGGCTTCTCACGTATTGTTGCACGGCTCTGTGAGGGCCACTGTATTCTTTTTGCCCATAAGTCAGCTGGTTTCTGAAACATGAACAGGCCTTGGTGCTATGGCGTAGGCACCAGGGTCCGTGCCGCCCCGGCCGCCGCCTGGGAGGAGGAGGCTGCCTCGGGCTCTCGCTCCGCTCTGGAAGTGCTCCGCGGCCTCGCCTCCCCGCTGCCGGCCACCCCGAGGGGCGCTGGGGCCCAGCAGGGCAATGTTTCTAGAAGAGGGGGCGAGTCTTGCTTTGTCGCTGTCGTTTCGGGTATCTTGATGTGTACAATAGGTGCTCAGTTACGCCTCATTCAATGAAATGAAGTGACTCCTTTCCGAGTTAGTATTTTCCTAAAAGGAGCTGGCTTGGCAATGGTAACGGCCTCTTCGAAGCATCTCAAACAGAGGGAAGCTTTGAGTGGGCATTTTGTGCTTCCTGGGAAGGGGTGTGCTCATTCCACCAGCCCTGGGATGTGCCCCAGGCTGGCGCTGGCGCCTGTGGCCCCCCTGATTCTGCCTGAGCCCTGCTGCGGCTCTGAAGAGCAGAGCAGGGCCCACCCTCTGCTTGGGGGAGCTCATGCTCCATCTTCTAAGGGCACATTTACCACCTCATTTCTCTCTTAGGCTAATGGGTTCATGCATAGAATTCAAACAATTCCTCATGTGACACTGAAAGTGTTGCTAAAAATATATATCAGATTTTACATTTTCATTCATACAATTAGAGTTCGGGATGGGTGCTCCTCTGCAGCAATTATGTTCCCTGCAGGGGTTTCTAAGGCCTCTCCTTCTCCTCGTAGGACCCCTGCCTCTGTAAATGTTAGATAAGAAAATACCACTCGCTTCAGACAGGGAGGAATGTGTAAATGCAGACTTGCAACTTATATGAACAGAAGGACATGTGTGACTGATTCACACATTCCTTTACTACCAAATGCTCCTAAAACTTCAAGTTCATATTAGGTATCTGTTATTCAGAGATAGGATAGTTTGGGTGAATAAGTACTCACTGGAATTTTTTTCTGTTCTTGAAATTTCAAATTAATATTTTATTCTGAAGAGCTTTCTGTTGAACAACCCAACCAAAGAATGTATGAGGCCTCTGCAGGAACAGACTGCCCACACCATGGTGTCATTTCACCCTTGCTCCCTTTGGGCAAAGGTGTGGTGTGGCTGTGGAGGGAGGAGTTATTCTAGCAACCTGTAGTTGCATAATTAAAAGCCAGGTTAAGAGAAACAGCTAAAGCAGGGTGCTGTCCCCACATGCACAGATTCCATGAAATCAGGCAAGCCGGAGGAAATCAGGCAAAGGGCTGTGTAGTAAATTGCAGAACTTCCAGAATCTCCCGCCTAGCCTTGGTTCATTTACATATAAATAGGTGTTTACCGCTGCAGAGCCTCCCAGTGATCTGGGGCAAGGGGTGGAGAGATGGTGGACATTCTCTCCTGTCCTCCATTCCCGGTGAGTAATTGGACTGGCACCTGCCAGTCACCAAGGACCGGCTGCTGGAGTTCCTCCCAGAAAGGGCCCCTGGGTAGTGAAGAGCACACTGTGGGGGCAGAGGGAGAGCAATGGCCAGAGGAGACAGACAGGGCCAGGCCTACCTAGTCAATTCAAGCAAGATGTGAGCAATAAAAAAAGTTTCTCCCAAGCTACCCTTTCACTTGACTTATTTCAGTTTCACCGGTTTCATAGGGGGATTCACCAGGCTGGGGACACTCTCCCCCTGGAGCTACAGGGCTCTGAAGGACTGACACATGCGGGCTCTGCTGTCTGTTCCCTTTGGGCCAGGAGGCACTTCTGGGGCTGTGACCTTCAGGAGGGGTCATGGACTCATACGCTCTTGGCTTTACCTACCAACATAGTACTTGTTTGCCTTCTGGGAGTTCACAGTCTGTTATCTCATCCCTGGTAAGGATCAAAAATGTTGACTGAATTTGAACTACCTCCCCGTCCTTAGTTTGTACCTGATAGTAAATGCTTGGCTCCTTATTGAGTCAGCCCCAGGGCTGGACTGCATACAGAGACACCTTTAGGAAAAGCTCCTGGTGATGAGTCTCATCCTTAACTAATATGCCATGTTATATTTGGAGATCTCTGTGGTCTGACTCTATAACCACATTCACTGAGTGATGCCCAACATATTTAAGAAGTGACTATGGTACTGAAGTTGGCAGTTGCCACTCTGCTAAGAATTAGACTCAATCCCCCCATGTTATTTCACACGTGAACTGTCTTGCAGAACCTGCTGGGAAATTGAACTTCTGCATTTAGCATCCTGACAGCTTGTAAGACCTTCTATAAGGGGAGGCACATTTTGTCTTAGACAAGCTATGCCATCACCCACTCCCTGTTGTTTTTTTCTTGTTTTACATCTGTTGCCCCATTTCCTATCTCACTGCATCAAGGTAGTAACTCGTGTTGTCTGCTTTATACCTTCAAGAAACAGAATCGAAGGCAATTCTAGAAGAGCATTTTTAGGAAACCAGCAAAATAAGGCAGAGAGCAAGAATTGAAAGGGCCCAGTGTCCTTTGGGGCTAAGAGCCGACAGTTACTGTCGCTGTCTACACCTACACCAGGTCCAGCAGAGAAAATCCTCATCTGTAGACCCAACGGGGTGGCACTGCCCTACAGGGCCCCGAGGAGAAGCAGATTACTCTCCTAAGTCATTCACGTGGTGTCATCAGGAGGAAGGGAAAGCTGCTGTGGCCTCCATGGAACAGATGGGTGGGGCTTTTGTGGTCCCAGAAATAGGAAATACTAAGGAATTGTGCAGACATGTAAACCACCCGGTATCTGAAACCTCCTGATTCACTTTTAAAGATCTTTGAAACAGCTCCCATCTCCTATTGAAGAACTTTTCAAACTCCCGTGTCTCCATTCTGTTCTTGTGCAGTTGGTTTCCTTGTAAACCCTAGTTTAGGTCTGGCCCTTGTCCCTTCTGAAACCCACCTTGGGTCCCTCTCACCCTGGTGTCCACAGGGCCAGGGGAACGGATGGCTCAGGAGCGGGTGGTGATTTTGAGGTCTTTTTTTCATTTGTTCTAATCCTGAGATACTCAGAGAGTAGAGGATAACTTCCTTTTCTTGACACCCAGACATCTGTGTTGCCCTTTGCAGATAAAATGAGAGTTCCTGTGGCCAGGATTCTCACCTGGCTGTGGTTGACTAGCTCACTGCACACCTGTGAGCACTACATGGCTGTTGACTCTATAAAAAGAGCTCTGCCCAGTGCTCTGGGTGCAACAGTGTGGCAGGGCCGCAAGGCTGCAGGAGAGCAGAGGCTGGAGTGGTGGCAGTGCCAAGGACAGAGGCCCAGAGGACGGCTGTGTGGTATGACTGTGCAGAGAGGCCCAGAGGACAGCTGTGCAGACAGAGGGGCCCAGAGGCAAAGACCAGCTTGCTGCATACAGACTCACTCTGAGTGAGTGGGGTTCTAGTGACTGACCTGCCACCTGGAAATAAAGTTCGGTATAACCCTTTCACCCCAAAGAGCATTCTGCTATCAATTTTCTTTGGTCACATTGAATCCATAGCGAACTTGCCCGGGGCTGGAACCCATTGGAAAGACACCCTTCACCTCCAAAGGCTTAAAACTTAGGAGCAGCATATTTAAATAATTACAGTGGCCAGAAGTTCACAAGAGCAAGTGATTCTGGTGATTTTCATCATGAACACTTATGAATAGTCTCTGCTTCCCCTTCTTCAAACATATCTATCAGATTCACTGCATTCATGTTTTTGTATCCCCAGTTTTGATGAAAACATGGGTGCAGAGATATATGTCTCCTCTTTAAGCAGGACAGCAGGGTACAATTCATCAGCACCAGCAAATGACCAGCATGGTGGGACAACAAGGTGGGCGTGAGCTCAGGGAGGGAGCGGGCTGCCTCCACTAACCGGCCAGGGAAACCTGCTCCCCCTACTGGCTGGTGGGCTGCTGCTCTGCAGCCTCTGGCTTACTTTCATGCTCTCTTGTGAGTACTTACTGAATACTCTTCACTCCTGAAAGCGCGTTCCAATCCACATGTATCAGAGGAGATACAAAGAGGAAGCCATTGCCTGAGGTTTCAGCAGTGGTGGTGGGGCTGGGATTCAGGTCCTGCCCAGCCCCAAGCCTGTGCTCGTCACTGTCCCACCCGGCCCACCAGAAATATGGTGGATCTTGCAAAGAGCCGGTGACTCGAGAAGCACAGGTCCTGGTTAAATTTGTACTGAGCAATGTGCAAATCATCAATTCTTTAAGAAGGCACAACTGGATTACCTTTTTTCCAGGTTATTGCATGTGTATTGCATTGAGACAAACTTCCCCTTCCCTCTCCGCTACCGCGCTCCGAGGCGCCCATTGCTATCAGGTGATGTGTGTCATGACGAGGA